TTGACAGCTCCATGATTTTGTTTTCAGAGATCGTGCCAACAGCGTATGGGGATTTTCTTTCATATGTAAAACCAGACTTTCGAGCTTGTGTTTATTATTCACGACGTTAGAACTGCTTGAAATTAGTATAAATTGTTTAAAATTAGTGTCTAGCCGCCAAAAAGTAGGGGCCTAAGTCTCAGTTAATCCCGATCAACGCTGCCGTCTGTTTAAGCTTTAAGACCTATACTAGAATACGGATCTATTGTCTGGAATCCCCGCTACCGAGTTCAGTCCGAAAAGATTGAATCAATTCAAAAACAATTCTTGCTTTTTGCATTGCGTGATTTTAACTAGGATTCAGACTACAATCTCCCCCCTTAAACTAGTCGTCTAAAGCTCATAAATTGGCCTATACTCGCAAGCCGTAGAGAAATGCTAGGTGTAATATTTATCGTAAAATTATTGACAGGCGTGATTAATAGCCCGGCTCTTCTGCCTGAGGTAAATTTTAATATTCCCTCTCGAGTGTCAAGACACTTTCGACTGTTTTTGAAGCCATGCTAAACTAATTTTGAACTAAACGAATCATTCCGTTGTTTATGCCAAGATTTTAACACTCATTCCAGCACGTTTGACATATCGGACTCGATTTTTACTATAAAGAAAACTATCATTTCCACTCTTAATAATTGAAATACTATCCTTAGCATATCCAATCAGGTGATGAATTTGTTTCTGTAACTGAATAGTTTTAGATTTCGACACTTAACAAACTCCTGTTTCCACGACTCGACACAAAAAAAAATATAAAAAATCCAAAAAAAAAAAATTCCGTACGCATTCGAACTGCGCCCCTCGTTAAAATAGAAATGGCAGCGGAGATGCCATCGAAATGTTTGTATTAAAAATTTTACATTTACTCCACTTTTCACGTAAATTTGCAGAGTTAGCGACACAGTGCCTTACTAAGGCAGCCGGTATGTCAACAGGGAGCGATTAAACTGTGTTCTGAGCAAACATTTTATTATTAATTCATGGGTCAAAGTATGATAAAAATATTTATTTTATATATTTTTATCATGGGTCGAAGTGTGGCTAACTTCCAAAACGTCAATTGCTTTGCACACGTACAAAGTATAAGGTGCAATCCCGTATTCCTCGGACGAAAACTAGTAAAACTGTCAAAAAATAAAAATTCGCTCAGAGGGAGTGTAACATTGAAAGGTACGGGATCGCTTCTAGTAAAAAATGGTAACTTCTTTCAACTTCTACATAACCTCCAAATTTTGGTTGTAAATTTTTGCTTATTTTGTATGTAAACACACTCAGCTCACACATGTAAATAACCAAAAATACTTTCAAATTCATTAGAATGCAATTAAACGAGTAATTAAATACATTTCAACGTGAATTAGCAGAGTGCACTTTTCTTTTGTTTACAATTTGGTTGCCAAACACACTACAGCTGATCGTTTAACATATTTACCAGAATTTACCTCGGTTACACTCTTTTTTGTCCTCTCAATAGTCAGAGAACCGAGTACGGGATCGATTTCCTGTAAAATCTGACTGATTCTGACTAGTCCGGACTCGTACGGGATGCAACTATAATGCTAGGAGCCGAACTACAAAATATTGACAATGTATACTTTTCCAAAAGGCATCCGAAAAGTTATCGAAACGCATCGCTAGAGCAATCAGCGCATCAGAAACAAAGTCGATGCTTCGTTTGGCTACCACTGGTGTTTTAAATATGGAAAATTCGAAAAAATTGATCATTGCTATATTGAATATTTAAAATATGCAATGTATATGATTGCAATGAGCCGCAACTCTGCATATACAAAGAGTTTGACTACCGCGGTATAACAGTATCCAAACATTGTATTGATACGTTTTGGAAGCCAGCCTGTGTTGTAAGATGTGACAGCGCCAATTTCAACGCCCTGAGCTCAATGTGTATTTTGCAGGGACCGTAACGGTTATAAGTTTTATTATAAAAATCACTTTTTAATCGTTATTAACTGAGTTTTATTTTTTGCTCGGAAAATATTGGTTACGTTTTAAATTTCTTTTTTGCTTGGAAAATAATCATTACGTTTTAAGTTCTATTTTTTGCTCGGAAAATAATCGTAACGTTTTAAGTTTTATTTTTTGCTCGGAAAATAATCGTTATTTCTTGATTTTATTTTTTGCTCAGAAAATAAAACTTAGTTTTTGCGTATGCGTATGCACATGCGTGAATAGACAGGCGAATAAATACACCAGTTTTATTAACTTTCGAAACTACAAAATTTTAGTTGTTAATCTTAACCTAATCTGCATCATCATCTTCATCTTCATCTT